TTTATAATCGAAAATTTAATTTTCATTTTTCCCCGAAATAGAATTCGATCCGGCATAATTTATCGTTACATAATCGATTCATGCGCGTGCAGAATGAAGGAACCGGCAAATCGAGTTGGTGGATGCTGAACCCTGACGCAAAACCAGGTAATTATGCAACTGGCAGTAATTAGCGAAAGAGAGAAAAAAACGTTTCTTTTTTACGAACACGGATGAAGCCGAGCTAAGCCAAAATGTGAATAAAATGAACGGCTCTTATTCCCTGAAAAATCCACCCAAATGAGGTTTATATCATATTAGCTTAATTCAAAGTGCCTATTTGACCTTGAGCCGTTTATTACCCAAATTATATTCAGGCCGATGAAAGATGGACTTTATCATTCACTCTGGTCGTCGCGCACTCGACACCACTGAAGAGTTTTGTTTTTCCAACAAAGCTTGCAACAATGTCTGAGTTTGGCTTGAAAAACTCAATCATATTACCTCACGATTAAACAAATTTGTGTGTGTGTTTGTTTCTTTTTTCCGTTGACTGTGTGAAACGAGGGGCAAATCACTCTCAAGTAATTTGTAATAGAGAAAGTACTCGAGAAAGTAATTTACGTGTAAAAATCTCGTAAATTCACGTAAATTACTTTCTCGATTACTTTCTCTATTACAAATTACTTGAGAGTGATTTGCCCCTCGGTGTAAAATCTACACGAGTTTGAGATTAATATAATTTGATTTGTATACAAGAAAGAAAAACACGAAATGATCCACAACTGCTCGTGAATTCTGTCGATTGCTGCGATCGCTGCGATTACTGCACTCGACCTTCAATTTCAAGCACATTGAAGATTTCGTGTTCCGAAAATATTTTCATTAGGTTTCAATACCCTGTATTAAGTGTGGGAAGAAATGACGATATTTTCTAAAGGCGAAGCACCTCATTTGCAATTTTTTTTTCCTCTTGTTTTTTTTTCCTTTCATCGGGCCCAATCAAATTTACTCCATGCCCAATTTTATCTCGAACAATTTCCGGAACTGATTCAACTGTTTCGAAGAATAAACTGAGGAACAAACGAGCAAAAAAAAAGTTCTGATTGCAGCCAACTCACCTCATCATCACATTTTCATTTATGGCATAGCCTAGCAACCGGCTTCGGTTGCCATCCGAAATGCTTTTCAGAAGAGGGTGTTCAATTTTCATAATGGACGCGCATAAGACGCAAACCAGTTTCTATGGCAATTAAATTGGAATAATCAAAATCACAATTCAACTCATAGTAACTCGCTCTTTCTCTTTGCTCCGCTCTGCTCTCATCTGTTTTGTATTCCGTCGTTGAAATAATTCGCTCAGTTACGTCTGTGCACTTGATTCCATTTTTAACTTTTGAATTTCGTTTGGAAAAAAAGGGAAATCAGTTCGCAGACGCGCCGCATCGATGGAAACATCGAAATATGAGAAACGCCGTGGCCGTGTGAAAAAGCAGGTGGAAAGTTTGAAAAATGGCGGACTTGCAAGTAAGTAAAGCCAATTCCGAAAGTACATGATGGCAATCTTAGTACCTTTTTTAAGCCATTCTTTTTCATCCGTAACTTATTTTTCTTCCTAATTTTCTTTTGTTTCTCTTTTCGATTCAGGTTTGTCTGGAATGAACGAAGCTTCTTCGCCCAGCAGGTAAATATATTGATAATAACGCTTTATAGCTAAGTACCATCCAAGCAGGCTTGAGTAACTGTTTTTTTTTCTCTAATCCTCTTCTCCTCCTCGTTGTCATTGTCGTCGTTGCCTTTTGTAGCAGTATCAGTGAAGGTCTAGATCTGTTTCCAAACAGTCCGCTCCTCAAGTAAGTTTCGACCGACAAGTTTCAATTAGATTGACCTTAATTTTTCTTGAAAAGGAAAAAAAAACTTTCTAATTGCATTGTTCAATGGTCTTGTTTTTAATTTACCCGTTTTGTCCGTTTATTTTCCGTCCACTCTCCTTCTCTCACTCGCACTCCAAACCAAACCAAATGAATTAATAAATTGTGCCAATAAATTAAGAGAAAATTGCTTCAATTTATATTTGGCCATCGGAATGGTATACGAACGTAGTTAATAATCATTTTCTTCATCTCTTTTCCTTTTTCAAATTGATTTACAGCACCGGGTTTCAATTGTCGCCCGATTTTCGGCAAAGAGCCTCATCGAATGCCAGTTCGGCTGGTCGGCTGAGTCCAATACCATCCGTTATCGATTTGGATCCCAGCTGGAATCAATACACAACAATATCTCAGGACTTTGACACGAATTCACTTGGGTGCAATAACCTGCAAGGAACCACTGATGGAGCCATTCAAATTAATCAGTGCCCGACGCTGGATCAATTAGCGGGCTCGTTGGCCGACGATCTGAATATTCAAAACGACTTTATGCAAGGGTGAGTTGATTTTGTTTTTCTGCTCATAGGCAGAGCATCTCATGTATGACGGATGGAATCTACGTAAAATGTAGAGTAAATTATTCATTTTCATTACTATGACTACATACTTTTATGGCAGAAAATTCACATGAAGAAAGAAAATGTTTCATCGTCAAAAAAATGTTCCCGATTCCATTATATTAAATTCATGGCATTTTTCGTTGTTCTCTCTGTTACAGATTCAATCCCGTTGTAACTGTGCAAAATCAACCGCCACCACCTCCTTATCAACAGCCATCTCGAACGTATTCCATGAATGCGGCAAATGCTTTACAAGCTTATGCGGTATCACAACAGCAAACTCAATGCCCCATCCACCAACGACAACCATGTTCTTGTACACAAAATTCCACAGAGGTATGTCAATACATAGCACATTATTCAAACAAATCAAGATGTTATTCCATTCACCACCACCGCGATCATCACTACTACCCTAAATACACTGAATACAAGCAGTGGAATTTTCATTCGGTTGACATTTCATTCATTCGGAAATGATTGAAATCGAACAAATGAAAAAACGACGAAAAAAACACATTAATATATTCGAAATATATCTTTTTCATTTCATATTCTCTTTCTCTTTCTGTATTTTATTTGACATGTGCAGCAGCATGTAACACCGCCATCATGTATATCACCATCGTATCCAAATAACGTGCTCAGCCAGAACTTCAAGGCAGCTATCAATTCGATTAAGGTGCCGCCTGTCAATTCAACGCCAAATCTCGTGAAATCAAACACCAATAAAGGTATGTCATATTTGCGGATTCAGAATGGCCCGTTCTGTTTGGTGCCGTTTTTCTGGTGTGCCAGTATGCCTATGTGTGTATTATATGTGCTTTTCAATAATAAGGTTAATATCAATCGAACGAACATGAAATAAAAAGAATAACTGCGTCGCATCAGTTTGTTGCCAATTTGGGTTTTTGGTCGATTTTCCATGTTCTCACATTTTGCCAATTCATATTTTCCCAACGAATTCACACTTGATTCGTTTCGAATACCAATTATTGCAAAGCCAATATAATCGCACGCATCCACTTACAAAAAGCATAAAAAAGTTATATTCGGCTACTGAGAAGCCGATAGAATGAGAAAACCAAAATTGATTCTTCGAAAAGAATCGTGCCAGCGCTTATTACATCGCCTTTTCTTCACCTTTTTTCACTTCCTTTCAATAACCTTTATTGAATACGCAAACAAATTTCAAAATAATACCAATTCCATTGGATTTATTCAAGTGAAGACGCCCGTGCGCGCGCTTCCGCAGGAGCGACCTCGTAACGCATGTTATTTTTGGACACTTTACGTCCTTTATGCGGAAATGCTAATTACATCTATTTAATTTTGATCATGTTGTCATAGAGACATTGAATACATATTACACAGTAGGGGTGATCAATTTTTAAGAAAAAATGGATTCAAAATTTAATAGTGCGGGATCGATAGATCATGAGGAGAGATGAAAATTTTGTTCTGGCACTTTTTTGATATAAAGTGCCTGGTGTCACCCCGGCCTTTTTTAGAAAATCACCTGAAAAATGACCATTTTTAGACATATTATCGCAATTTGCTCTAAATGTGATGCATAAACATACCATTTTTTGGTTGTAATTTAGTAGCTCGTAGAAAATTACGGCAAGATTTCCCATATTTTCGAGGAAAAATAACTTTGCACAAAGACACCCACCCTAAGAGGCCTATACTTAAGGATTTTTTGGCCAAAAATCGATTTTCTGAGAGTTGAAATCGAACCATCCGAATATGCGGCTAGAAATATATGAAAACATCACTCGACTTGGTCATGTACGTACTTAAAATGTTCGTGAGGGATCATACTATATGTTCAAAGGTAGCAAAGGCAGAAATTGTTTGCTCAATGGGGTGGTTTAGCCGTGAAACTGAAGCTCATGGTCGTGATTTGCACAATTTGGTTCCAGGAAATCGTACTTTTTGACACTAAAATCACACAAACCTGTAACAAATAAAACTAGAAATCGATCCCTCGTCTAACATTGGGTGGATATAGACACATTTTGGTAAGTATGTCGGCTATAATTTGGCTTTTTAGGCGACATAATTAAAAAAAATGGCCAAATTTGAGGAGATTTTCATATATTTGTTGCTCTATCAATGTCCAGTGGCACATTTTGAGTTAAAATATGATGTCATATCGATAGTTCGGAACAAGTTGAGTCGAATAAAGGTGTTTAATAGATTGATTTATAGTGAACTGGATCACCATAAGTGGGCAAATATACAGAAAAATGACAAATTTCGGCAAATTGACACTATTTTTTCTAAATATCCTGAAAAAATCGCTGTAAATCGATTCAAATCAACGTAATTTTCTACGAGCTACTAAATTACAACCAAAAAACGGTATGTTTATGCATCACATTTTGAGCAAATTGCGATAATATGTCTAAAAATGGTCATTTTTCAGGTGATTTTCTAAAAAAGGCCGGGGTGACACCAGGCACTTTATATCAAAAAAGTGCCAGAACAAAATTTTCATCTCTCCTCATGATCTATCGATCCCGCACTATTAAATTTTGAATCCATTTTTTCTTAAAAATTGATCACCCCTACTGTGTAATATGTATTCAATGTCTCTATGACAACATGATCAAAATTAAATAGATGTAATTAGCATTTCCGCATAAAGGACGTAAAGTGTCCAAAAATAACATGCGTTACGAGGTCGCTCCTGCGGAAGCGCGCGCACGGGCGTCTTCACTTGAATAAATCCAATGGAATTGGTATTATTTTGAAATTTGTTTGCGTATTCAATAAAGGTTATTGAAAGGAAGTGAAAAAAGGTGAAGAAAAGGCGATGTAATAAGCGCTGGCACGATTCTTTTCGAAGAATCAATTTTGGTTTTCTCATTCTATCGGCTTCTCAGTAGCCGAATATAACTTTTTTATGCTTTTTGTAAGTGGATGCGTGCGATTATATTGGCTTTGCAATAATTGGTATTCGAAACGAATCAAGTGTGAATTCGTTGGGAAAATATGAATTGGCAAAATGTGAGAACATGGAAAATCGACCAAAAACCCAAATTGGCAACAAACTGATGCGACGCAGTTATTCTTTTTATTTCATGTTCGTTCGATTGATATTAACCTTATTATTGAAAAGCACATATAATACACACATAGGCATACTGGCACACCAGAAAAACGGCACCAAACAGAACGGGCCATTCTGAATCCGCAAATATGACATACCTTTATTGGTGTTTGATTTCACGAGATTTGGCGTTGAATTGACAGGCGGCACCTTAATCGAATTGATAGCTGCCTTGAAGTTCTGGCTGAGCACGTTATTTGGATACGATGGTGATATACATGATGGCGGTGTTACATGCTGCTGCACATGTCAAATAAAATACAGAAAGAGAAAGAGAATATGAAATGAAAAAGATATATTTCGAATATATTAATGTGTTTTTTTCGTCGTTTTTTCATTTGTTCGATTTCAATCATTTCCGAATGAATGAAATGTCAACCGAATGAAAATTCCACTGCTTGTATTCAGTGTATTTAGGGTAGTAGTGATGATCGCGGTGGTGGTGAATGGAATAACATCTTGATTTGTTTGAATAATGTGCTATGTATTGACATACCTCTGTGGAATTTTGTGTACAAGAACATGGTTGTCGTTGGTGGATGGGGCATTGAGTTTGCTGTTGTGATACCGCATAAGCTTGTAAAGCATTTGCCGCATTCATGGAATACGTTCGAGATGGCTGTTGATAAGGAGGTGGTGGCGGTTGATTTTGCACAGTTACAACGGGATTGAATCTGTAACAGAGAGAACAACGAAAAATGCCATGAATTTAATATAATGGAATCGGGAACATTTTTTTGACGATGAAACATTTTCTTTCTTCATGTGAATTTTCTGCCATAAAAGTATGTAGTCATAGTAATGAAAATGAATAATTTACTCTACATTTTACGTAGATTCCATCCGTCATACATGAGATGCTCTGCCTATGAGCAGAAAAACAAAATCAACTCACCCTTGCATAAAGTCGTTTTGAATATTCAGATCGTCGGCCAACGAGCCCGCTAATTGATCCAGCGTCGGGCACTGATTAATTTGAATGGCTCCATCAGTGGTTCCTTGCAGGTTATTGCACCCAAGTGAATTCGTGTCAAAGTCCTGAGATATTGTTGTGTATTGATTCCAGCTGGGATCCAAATCGATAACGGATGGTATTGGACTCAGCCGACCAGCCGAACTGGCATTCGATGAGGCTCTTTGCCGAAAATCGGGCGACAATTGAAACCCGGTGCTGTAAATCAATTTGAAAAAGGAAAAGAGATGAAGAAAATGATTATTAACTACGTTCGTATACCATTCCGATGGCCAAATATAAATTGAAGCAATTTTCTCTTAATTTATTGGCACAATTTATTAATTCATTTGGTTTGGTTTGGAGTGCGAGTGAGAGAAGGAGAGTGGACGGAAAATAAACGGACAAAACGGGTAAATTAAAAACAAGACCATTGAACAATGCAATTAGAAAGTTTTTTTTTCCTTTTCAAGAAAAATTAAGGTCAATCTAATTGAAACTTGTCGGTCGAAACTTACTTGAGGAGCGGACTGTTTGGAAACAGATCTAGACCTTCACTGATACTGCTACAAAAGGCAACGACGACAATGACAACGAGGAGGAGAAGAGGATTAGAGAAAAAAAAACAGTTACTCAAGCCTGCTTGGATGGTACTTAGCTATAAAGCGTTATTATCAATATATTTACCTGCTGGGCGAAGAAGCTTCGTTCATTCCAGACAAACCTGAATCGAAAAGAGAAACAAAAGAAAATTAGGAAGAAAAATAAGTTACGGATGAAAAAGAATGGCTTAAAAAAGGTACTAAGATTGCCATCATGTACTTTCGGAATTGGCTTTACTTACTTGCAAGTCCGCCATTTTTCAAACTTTCCACCTGCTTTTTCACACGGCCACGGCGTTTCTCATATTTCGATGTTTCCATCGATGCGGCGCGTCTGCGAACTGATTTCCCTTTTTTTCCAAACGAAATTCAAAAGTTAAAAATGGAATCAAGTGCACAGACGTAACTGAGCGAATTATTTCAACGACGGAATACAAAACAGATGAGAGCAGAGCGGAGCAAAGAGAAAGAGCGAGTTACTATGAGTTGAATTGTGATTTTGATTATTCCAATTTAATTGCCATAGAAACTGGTTTGCGTCTTATGCGCGTCCATTATGAAAATTGAACACCCTCTTCTGAAAAGCATTTCGGATGGCAACCGAAGCCGGTTGCTAGGCTATGCCATAAATGAAAATGTGATGATGAGGTGAGTTGGCTGCAATCAGAACTTTTTTTTTGCTCGTTTGTTCCTCAGTTTATTCTTCGAAACAGTTGAATCAGTTCCGGAAATTGTTCGAGATAAAATTGGGCATGGAGTAAATTTGATTGGGCCCGATGAAAGGAAAAAAAAACAAGAGGAAAAAAAAATTGCAAATGAGGTGCTTCGCCTTTAGAAAATATCGTCATTTCTTCCCACACTTAATACAGGGTATTGAAACCTAATGAAAATATTTTCGGAACACGAAATCTTCAATGTGCTTGAAATTGAAGGTCGAGTGCAGTAATCGCAGCGATCGCAGCAATCGACAGAATTCACGAGCAGTTGTGGATCATTTCGTGTTTTTCTTTCTTGTATACAAATCAAATTATATTAATCTCAAACTCGTGTAGATTTTACACCGAGGGGCAAATCACTCTCAAGTAATTTGTAATAGAGAAAGTAATCGAGAAAGTAATTTACGTGAATTTACGAGATTTTTACACGTAAATTACTTTCTCGAGTACTTTCTCTATTACAAATTACTTGAGAGTGATTTGCCCCTCGTTTCACACAGTCAACGGAAAAAAGAAACAAACACACACACAAATTTGTTTAATCGTGAGGTAATATGATTGAGTTTTTCAAGCCAAACTCAGACATTGTTGCAAGCTTTGTTGGAAAAACAAAACTCTTCAGTGGTGTCGAGTGCGCGACGACCAGAGTGAATGATAAAGTCCATCTTTCATCGGCCTGAATATAATTTGGGTAATAAACGGCTCAAGGTCAAATAGGCACTTTGAATTAAGCTAATATGATATAAACCTCATTTGGGTGGATTTTTCAGGGAATAAGAGCCGTTCATTTTATTCACATTTTGGCTTAGCTCGGCTTCATCCGTGTTCGTAAAAAAGAAACGTTTTTTTCTCTCTTTCGCTAATTACTGCCAGTTGCATAATTACCTGGTTTTGCGTCAGGGTTCAGCATCCACCAACTCGATTTGCCGGTTCCTTCATTCTGCACGCGCATGAATCGATTATGTAACGATAAATTATGCCGGATCGAATTCTATTTCGGGGAAAAATGAAAATTAAATTTTCGATTATAAATGAAATTTATTTTAGAATGAACATGTTTCGGCAAATTTCCCTTGGAGAGAGTGTGATTTGATGTTGTGAGTGCATTTAAATGCTACATATCTATGGGTGAGATTGAGAGTGGAGTATGTTTTTTCTTCGATTTATATTTTTGAAAAGGCGAGTATGTTTTCTGATGATTCTGTTGGCGTTAAAGTAGAGTATGTTGTAGTACCGTCTAGCCTCCGCGGTCTTCATGGTTTTCGCGCAACTGATAAAAGATAACAACATAGTGTCTTCGGCAAAGTTGTAGTACTTGAGGTCTTCTCTAACTAAGATGAAGACAGTTATCTCTTATCTCTTATCAGTTGCGCGCAAATCGCGCACATAAAAAAGCAAATTTTATATAGAACTTTTTTTTTTCTTATCATTTTTCGCGCTTTTCGCGGAACTGATAAGAGATAAGAGATAACTTTCTTCAGCTTAGTTATAGAAGACTTCAAGTACTACAACTTTGCCGAAGACACTATGTTGTTATCTTTTATCAGTTGCGCGAAAACCATGAAGACCGCGGAGGCTAGACGGTACTACAACATACTCTACTTTAACGCCAACAGAATCATCAGAAAACATACTCGCCTTTTCAAAAATATAAATCGAAGAAAAAACATACTCCACTCTCAATCTCACCCATAGA